AAGCCAAACCGACTGAGTGGAACGCGCCAGGCAGACAGCAGGTGCACTGGGCCTAGAAGAAGATCGAGACACACCTCCAGGACGGTCTCAGGAGTCTAAGGCACAAACGCAGATAATCACCAAGGAAGACGTGGAGCTTGATGGGAGATCTGAGGAGAGGGCACCAAGGGAGACCCTGCGGCACAGAGATGTCCAGCCTGGGGACGGGCCCGGGTGTGACTTGGGGAAAGACGTTCAGGCCAAGGGCGCAGCATCAGTGAAAACAGGAGGCAGTCACCTTCCTAGGAAGGGAAGCAGGAAAGAGGGAGGGGAGAGGGAGGAACGGGACGGAAATGAACACACTGAGAGCTGATTTTTAAGGTTCTGGGGAACCTCTCACCAGAGGTGTCAGCCAGCAGTTGGCAACATCGGTCTGAAATCGGGGGGAGAGGCAGGAAATAGAAATTCAAGGTTGCGAGTCTTTGGCATAGAGTGACAGTAAGGAGCTCAAGAGATCACAGAGAAGACAGCATCTAACACGCGGCAGGAGGAAGAGGAAGCCAGGGGAGTGTGGTCCATGAGGCAGAAACGGAAGGACAGCCCATCAGTAGAGCAGTGGCCCCTCCCTGGATACCAACTATCTGAAGATGCAGGTTCAGGAAGAAGGCCTGGAAGGATTGCAGGAAGATGAAGATGGAGAAAAAGGCCATGGAATGTGGGAAGTAAGAAGGCAGATGTTGAAACTGAACTGTTATTTAAAATTCTGCAGCAAGATGAACACATCAAAGCAGAGTCTCACGTAACGGCCCCCGGGAGGCTCTGCGCCGTCCTAGTAACTGCGTCACTGCGCCCCGCCTGCTCTGCCCCTTCCCCGTCCCCCTTCCCCGGGCCCCCGTGCACTCTCCAGCATCAGCTACCATTACTGCCATCGTGGGCTTTTGTTCTCGGCTTGGTGGTCCACTTCACTCACTAGACTTGCCTCTGAATGACTCCTTCCATCTCAAAGCTGCCCCAAAAGTCGAAGCTTTGCCACCTCCGAGAAAGCCGTCCTGAGTGACAGCAGCACCTTTGGAAAGAGAGTTCCGCCTGCAGAGTGATCGTGCGGACAGGACAGCGCTCGTGTCCGTGGGCTCACGGCGTGGCCCCTGCCATCACCTGTGTCTTCCCCACAACCCGTCGGCACCCGGGCTGCCCGCCTTACACCGCCAGCTCCCAAACGCTGAGGGTCTGGCTTCAAAGACAAACACCCCCAAGTTCACAAAAAGAAACCATGGGGAAAGCAGGTTCAGCCAGAGCTGGTGACAAGAGTACTGAACTCAGAGGAGGCGCATTCAGGATGATTCGCCGTCTCTGGGGCTCAGTTTCCTCTGACATCGAGTGAGGGGCCTGAACGAAAAGGCCTCTGAGATGCCTGCCTTCTTAAAAGCAAACAAATAAAAACCAGCCATGATCCGGGTGGTTATTAAAACCTTCTGGAGACTGTGAACAGAGAGCAGCTGAATTTTGGGGATAAAGTGGAAGGTGTCGGCGGTGGTCCAGGGAAAGGAGAGAAAGGATGAGAGACATGGGGTGAAGGTCGGGGGGGTGGCCCTAGCCGCACGAGAAATGGGGCTCCCTCTGCTCCTGGGGGGAGGCAGGCATCCCCTCCGTGTGGGCACCTCTTTGTGCTGCAGTCTGTCTGCTGAAAGGCCGACTCTGGCCCCCGGTCCCCATCACCCCGGCCACAGTGGGGGGTCCTTACCCATCGTGTTGTTGGCTCGAGAGCAGGTCGTGCGTTTCAGGATCTCGTGCACCTAAAACGGACACAGCGGGGCTGTGAGCACCTGGGCCACGTGCGTCCCCAGCCCCAGGGGGCAGCCCCACTTCCAGGCGGGGACCCAGGCCTGGGCCTGTGCCGGGCTTGGGGACTGCCTGTCAAACCCACTCAGACTTGACGGCTTTGAGGACACAAGACATCTAAGCCCCTCACACACACCCCGCCCCTCCGCCCCGCCCTGCCAAAGTGAAGAAAAGGCTGTAAATTGAACGCAGTTAAGGAGGGAAGGAAAGATGAGGAGAGCCCAGACCCACAGGCCTCTGGAGGCCCGGGGGGGGGGCCGGGGAGGGAGGGGGGAGCCCCACACACTAGCCCCGAGAGCCCCTGGCTGGGGAAGGCCTGGAGTCCCGGCCCCGAGCCTGGTCACAGAGCTGCTCTGGGGAACCACGCAAGCACTCTGGCAACTGGAAAGGGCCACCTACAGCTTGGTCCTTCGTCACTTCTCTGTCCTTTTCCCAAGTCCTCATCTTGCCTCCCCTGGAGCGAGTCTGACGTCCTCAAGACTCCACGTCTCAGAGCACATCCCGAGCACACGGCTGCTGCCGCCCAAGGAGCCCTGCATGTTAACACGTCAGCAGACCAACACGCCCCTGACTGTGGGGCCGGCAGGGTCCTGCTGCTTGCCGGGCAGGGCAGGGGGCTGAGAGTCTCCCAGCCAAGGAGCAGGGACACGGAGGCACCATAAACTCGTGCCTTCCGAGCGGTCCCAAGCTGACGCCAGGCTACAAGGAGATGCCCAGTCAGGAGGTCAGCGCTGGACAGACAGCTGGGCTGCCCAGACGCCCACAGGGAAGGGGGCGCAGGGAGATGTCTACAGACGCGGGCGAGGTCCTCAGACCAGAGCCCGGGGCAGGGCAGACCCCAAGACAAAACTCAAGGCTCCTCTCTCCCCCATCCCAGTGTGGGGTGGACCCGGGAAATGGCAGGAGGAGAAGGAAGAAGCTTCCAGAAGAAGGAAAGACGTGCTTCTCCATCCCATTCACACCCTCACGTTCCAGCCCCAAACCTAGAGGGAGTGGTAAATGAATAACTCCCAGCAGAATGCGGCCCAAGAATGCTTAATTCGCTTATAATACAGTGCAGTACTCAACAGCAGTAATCATCAGGAGCAGCATTTATGTGGCCTTCTATTATTTTATAAGCACGTTGCAACTCTCGGGTAATTTCTACAACACCCTCTAAGTGCCCTGCAGACGTGGGACCCAAGCCACAGGGACAGTTAAACGGCTTGTAATAGCATCAACCAAAACAATGGGAAATGTATGCTTTTTTTTCCGTAAGAAGATAAAAGAAATCATATGCCCATTTAAAATCTCCCCAAAACACTAGGCCAAGGGACTGAGGAGTTCGCTGGCCCATCCTGCAGAGTCAAGGCCGTGTTTTCAGCATGACTTGGAAATGTTCTGTAGCTAAGTCCAATCACCTGTCCCTTCTAAGCCTTCTTATCACCCTGCTGGCCTGGAAGTCCCTCTAGAGGTCTAACTGTTATTCTTCCTCCTGTTGAAACTTCCACTCTTTCCTAGGGATCAATGGATATGGGCTGCCATGTTTCCACAGTGGCCTGAGCAAGGAACCAGCGTTCCTTGGGCCCCTCCTTCTCCACCCCCGATCCCCGTCCATGGGCTGGTGCTTTCCAGGTGGGTAGGGGATAAACGGCCCTCAGACAGGGGCTGCGAGGCACAGGCCACATGCAGGTTTTCACTGGAATCAACCATCCTGCAAAATTCAAAACTTTGACTTCAAGAGGCAAAACTCAAGAAGAAGGGCGAAGAATGGCTCCAGTCACAGATGCTGGCTTCCTACCGAACAGGCCAGTAATTTTATTCCTGGACAAATGGGCCAGCTCGAGCATCCCCTGGGACATAAATGCCGAGGACTCCTCTGGGGATGAAAGAACAAACACAGCGGCCCAGCAACGAGCCTCACTCGGACACAAACGATCTGCATGAATTTTTTTGTTTCAATTCAAGGCATCTCAGAGCTTCTGTGTCCTCAACTGTCAAGCAAGGGGTCACTCAAATAGTGGAGAGTCCCCACCGGCTCTGACAGTCCCTGATTTTGTGATTTCGAGAAGGGCCTGGATGGAGAACCGTGGAAAGACAGCCCTCTCAGCCTGACACTGAGGAGAGCTCCGGGCTACTTCTCCCACCACGGGGACTGGGAAGCCCCCTGGACAGGCCTCCTAGTCGCTGTGCGACTCCCAGCAGATGACGGGAGGCGTGAGAGCCGGCCCAGGGAGGGCGGAGACCGCCCGGCCAAACGGAATTCAGGCCTCCCCAGCCCCTCCCCAGCCAACCACACCTGGTCGAGCACCCGCTCAGCCTGTTCACTTACAATGCGGCTACGGGTGGCGTTATCAAAGAAGGTGTCCTTGTCCTGGATGTTGTACCTGGGGACACCGAGAAAGCAGAAGGTCAACTCACTTCACGACCCTCATCCTGGGACCACTGCCACCCGGGCCCACAGCAAGACGTGCAAGACACACACACCCCCTCCACAAGGTTCACACTCTTTTTGGCCCAGTCATTCTGAAAACTTATCGCAGAAAGGTATCACAGGAAAATAAATTCAACAGAATAAACAAGCTCCATTAAGAAAATTGTCCATTACAGAGTTACTTACAATGAAGACATGATACAATACCAACACCTGTATCATGCGGCCGCTGAACATTTCAGCACCCACCCCGAGCCGATTTCCGGGGAGCAGGGTGGTACGGGACGTGGAATCAACGGCCGGTGATTTAATCGGCCCTGTCTGCGTAATGAAACCTCCCTGAAGTCCCAGAAGGGTGAGATCTGAGGGCTTCCAGGTCGGTGAGTCAGAAGGCCTTCGTGCTGAGCCCCAAACCCCAGGGGGAACAGAAGCCCCTGCGTTTGGGACCTGGCCTTGTGACTCTCTTCACCTGCTGTTGATCCCCACCCTTCCATGCGTTTGTAAGAAACGGGCAATCTAGCGAGTAAACGGGCTCCCTGAGTTCTGTGAGCCGCTCAAGCCAATTAAGCAAACCCAAGGAGGGGGTCTGGAACCTCTGCTGTGTAGCCAGCCGGTCAGAAGCACAGGTAACGACCTGGACTTGCTCAGGCCTCTGAGTGGGGGCCTGAGCCCTGTGATACTGAAGCCTCAACCTGGGAAGTCTGACGCTATCTCCAGGTGGACAGGCTCAGAACGGAGCTGGACGGCAGGACACCAGGCTGGGTGGAGGAATTTCTTGGTGGTGTGGGAAAACCCTTACACACACTCGAACTGGTGACCAGAACTGTAGCAGAATCGTTACTGGGGTAAGAATTCAATGGGGGAGCAAACACAAGTGTGCAGAGCTGTTATCTAACAGGGCAGATGGGCAGGAGATGTGCCCCAGCGAGCGTCAGACACGTCGCCCCATCAAAGCCAGTTGCCCAGAAGGGACAGATCCCAGCCCTTCTCCGCCTTCCCCAGTCCCTTCCCTCCCTCTCCCACTTCCCCGTGATGACCCCCCCTCCCAGAGGCTTCCCTGAGGCAAGCGCTTACCCCTCCCCCCAGGCGGGGCGCGAGAGGGGCCCCTCGCAGTCCACAGTCCCAGGAGCAGGCGGCTGGGAGGACGGACATCCAGACGCTCCACCCACCTTCTCTCGGGTTTTGCACAATTTGCTGAAACCCTGTTAGGCTGGGAACTGGGCAGAATGGTTCCCCACAGAGGACTAGACAGGTATCTGCCCATTTTTCTCAGAGTCCTGAGGTCTCTAGTTGTTCACTCCCTGAGTCACGCCAAATGACAGAGACGGCAGCTTTCCCGATCAGCCCCTGGATGAATATTCCAGAGCTCTTTGAGATCATCTCATTCAGGGAAGGGGATTCAGAAAGCAAACATGGGGACTATTCCAGCCTGAGAGCACCCGCCCTCCCCACCTCCCAGGCTCCGAGGCACTCACTCTGGGAACTGAGGCACTGAGCGGTCCTTGACTTTCCACTCCAACCTCTCACACAACCCCCCCCAACCAGCTCCAATACTCACAGGTACATCTTCTCCCTGGAGAACGGGTAGGAGAGGTTCTTCATCCTGCTGTGAGTGTGCTCAGGGACTCGGGGCTTCAGGGGCGAGCTCAGCTTCTGCAGAACCTTGTTGAACGTCTTGGCGATGCTGCCTTCTGACTTGATCTCATACATCTGTGAAAGGCACAGCCACAGGTCTGAGAGGGAGGCGCATCCGATGCTCAGAGAGCGACTCACAGCCAGAGCCACCCGGGGCTCAGATCCCCCCGCAGGGGAACACGCTGGGGAGAGGAGACTGGAGAAGAAAGCGGTAGGTCCGTCCCTTCCCCCACTGCCTTCACAAGGACGTGAGCCCTCTCAACTGAGTGTGCCAACGGCGGGGACCAGGGTGGAGACACAGTGAGGAGTCCAAGCTTTCTCTGGGGCTGGGTGCATCATCACAGGAGACCTACTGTGTGACAACCACCACACTAAGTGCTTTACACAAATGAGCTCTGATGCACTCTGCACCCCAGCTAGGGAGATCATGTCATTCTCATATTGCGATGAGGAAATTAAGGCTCAGAAAGGTGAGATGAGTCCACAAAGGTCACGCAGAGTAACTGGGCGACCGCTTGGCTTGCGGCATCAACCTAATCCAAAGTCGGTGCTCTGCAAGGAACCCGCGCCCCCGTGTGACCAGCAGCCCCACTTCTTTCACGCTCCTCTGGGGAAACATCTGATGAATGAGTTTGCTTTCAACACCTGGTGAGCACCTGCCTTCAGTGAAGCACAGAGTTAGTACTAGAATAAGCACTGGTCCTCACGGCCCGCACAGGTTTCCGCGACGTGCGGAGCGCTTCCGCGTACCTTGCAGCTCCTAATGCACAGACGTGGCCACTGACACGCAGACGCTGTGCTTCTCACGGCAACGCTGCGACGGATTAACAACGGCCACACGTGTCTTTACCCAAGTACTCCTTTCTGTGTTCCCACCCCGCTTAAGTCTGGGTGCGCTCTGTGGCACCTGAGCGAAAGCGACAGGATGCCAGCTCCGCCCTTTAAGAAGATGGGGAGCTTCTGCCTTGGTCCCTTGGAGCTCGGAGCCCCGATAGGAAGTCTGTGCAGAGATGCTGAGAGGACGCAGAAAGGGAAGGGACCAGGCTGGGCCCACGCGGCCGGCCGCCCAGCCACGCATCAGGCGAGCGAGGGAAGCCTTACTGGACCCTCCGGTCCAGCTCAACCCCAAGCTAAACAGCACCCAGTGACCTCAGTCACCACCCCACAGAGCAGAAGGATTACCCAGCCCAGCTCTGCTCGAGTTACTGAGCAAAAATTCATGAGACAGAATAAAATGACTGTGTCTTAAGCTACTAAGTTTGGGCGAGCTTGTCCTGCTGCAGAAGATGATCTGAGCAACAGCGACACCGGATCCTCCGTCTTCCCTATCGTGGCGTCCTTGAGTTGCTGCGCGCAGAGAGGCAGCAAAACATGGGTGAAACACTTACAAGGCAGACGGAGACAAACGCCGCAGAAGACACACAAGACGCTTTGAGGGTCAAAGAAAGGAGATGGCAGACCCAGCTGAGGAGTCAGGAAAGTGTTTCTTGCAGGAAGCAGCACCTCTGCTGGACTTCAAAAGAAAGGTAACCTCCTTCTCTTGTCTTTTTGTTCTTTAACAAAATGATGATAATTTAGAGGGAGAGGGAGAACCTCCCCAATCTAACAACTGACGCATAAGCACGGTGTATTTATTTCTTTGAATAAATTTTCCTGTGCACTTAGATTTAATTTCAATTACACACTTAACACAGTTCTAGTAAACAACGAAACCAAAACCATAAAAGCATATTAATGTAAAAATTAACTAATATTAACAGCTTCCTTTCTCTTCCAGCCCCATCACAGAGAGGAAATCCCCATGATAATCTGGATCTGTTTTATGCTGACTCTCCCCACGTATCTACAATCGAACCCCTTTCTTAACACCCCTGTGATCGTATTTCACGTTATTATTCCAAAGTTCGCTTTTCTCATTTACCAGTGTGTCCCAGGTATGTACTTTGCAGGTCAGTTCGTGGAGGACTGCCTTCATGAATGCATCATATTGCACAGTGGATACGATTCCTAATTTGTGTAGTCACCTCCCTAGTGATGGGCATTTATTTTATCCTCTACACATGCCTTAACTCCTTTGATCACACTTCTATTACATTACCTTATAAAGACTTTCAATGAATCAGGCTTGAATAGATCGAGACAAAGACATTCCAAGCCAACAAAAGAGTGGAAAAGTTCAAGCTGGATTTAAGAAGGGTTAAAGGGCCTGGTTTTACTTGCATGATTATTTCATTGATGTCCGGCTGCCCACCAAACATAACCTCCGTGAAGGCAGGATACCATCCGAATTACCTGCTATCTTTGAGAGGACGAATGAATGCTGCACCCCTGGGGGACCAGCGTTGACGGCAATGGCGGTAGGTCTCTGGTGGAGCCCAGGCTGGGGACGGAGCAGCCACAAGGTAACGGGCCTCGGGAGAGGTAACCCAGGCCGGGAATAAAGCCAAAGCCTAAAGGCGCTGGCTGACCGAAAGGCTTCCCGATCTGGCCCCACAGCTGCAAAAGGCCCTGGGGGCCCAGCCCCAGCAGAGGCCTGGGGGGCCTGTACTCAGTCGGGGAGGATGAATAACCAGCAGCTGCCCCAGGGCCTTGTTGTGGCAGGAGGGCAGCTGAACCTCCGAGCTGTTCCTGCCCCTCATCCTGGCGGTGTGTCTGGCTGGGCAAGCTTGAGAATCGGGCTAAAGGGAGTGGGGCCTGTGCATGCCTTTAGGGGGACCAGGAATGGGACCAGGATAAATTCTGACTGTTCCTTGACGGGGGGCGGACTCTAAATCACTAAAAATAATACCATCTGCCTCGAGGAAAAATGTAACAGGTGTCGAAGGTCAGAGTCCCACCAGAACCCTCAACGCTACCTCCAACCCACAGCCCTGACGGGGACGCTACACGCATACCCAGGCTGATACCAGACTGCAGGGACTTTGGGGGATGCAGCCTGGCACGTGCCCACCCTGAAACACAGAGTGGGGAGGCCCATGGCACGAGACCATGGACACTAAGCTTGGAGGACAAAGGACCTGCCTCCTACCTGAGGCCTTTGCTTCTCCCTGCCCCCACCCCTCCTTCTCCTCCACTGGGCTCAGGCAGCAGCTTTCCCAGGAAACCCTCCTTAGCCCCCTGCGTCATGAAGGCGGTCTCGCACCTCTCTGATTCCTGGCTCACTCGCCTGTCTCCCAGCAGACTGCGGGCTTCTGGAGAGCAGGGAGCACACCTGCTGAGCCTGGCACACAGTAGGACCACGATAATGTCCACTGAGTGAACAGCCTGGGTCCTGGTCCTTCCTGATGCGAACTGTGTGGCTCCGGGCAAGTCACTATCCCTCTCAGGCCCTTCATCTCTAAAGAGTGAACTGCAGGGGACTTCCACTTCCCACTATGACGGAGGAACAGGGACCAGACTGACCCCACCCGGACCAACCAAAACACCCAGACAAAAATCATGAAATAATGGTTGCTGTGGTCTGAATGTTGGTATCCCCCCAAAATGCATACCCTGAAACCCCAAGGCCCAACATGATGGTTCTTAGAAGGGTGACTGGGTCATGAGGGTGGCGCCCTCGTGAATGGGATGAGCACCCTTTTAAAGGACACTCCACGGAGCTCCCCGGCCCCTTCCACCAGGTGAGGACACAGTGAGAAGGGGCCAGCTACGAACCAGGAAGGGGGCGCTCACCCAGCCACGCTGGTGCCCCGGTCTCAGGCGTCCAGCCTCCAGAACTGTGAGAAACAAAGATCTGTTGTTCTAAGCCACCCAGTCTGTGGTATTTTGTGACAGTGGCCCAAACAGACTAAGAAAACAGTTTGTAAGATACTGGACATCAGGCAAGGAAGAGTTCCCGAGAGACAGGCAACAAGCAAGGCGAGGCCTGCGATGGCTCCGGCTCACGGCCTGGAGGGAGGCTCTGGGCCGAGGGGCAGGAAGAGGGGACGGATGGAGCCCAGCGAAGCCCTGAGTTGAGGAGGCAGAGTTGTGCGTCTGGGGAGGCCAAGGCAACTGGAGTTCACAGGACAGAGAACCCGGGGGGAAAGCTTCACCAAGAATCCCATAGAAGGGCCTCCTGAGCACTTGGCAGGGAGGGAGGGACAGCAGGACACTGGGGAAGAAACCCAACTGCAAGGACTGGGACCAGACCGTCTTCTCCCCACCAGCCTGAGTGGAACAGCTCGTCACTGGCGGGGCACTGGGCAGAGCCCCCTGGTCCACTCAGAGGTGGGGATCACGAGCCCTCGGCCGAGCACTGCTCCAGACCCGCTGAGTGCATCGTTACAGCATCATCCAAGTCTAAGCTTCCGTGGCTTTGGACACCGAATGGAAAAGAAACCTTCGTGCACGGCACGGCCATTTCTAGGCGTCTCCCGCATGCCAGGCGCCGAGCCTGGGGGCTGATCCTGCCGAGGGCTGAAGAAATACAGCCACGAGGCTGACCCCTTCCAGACACAGGGTGCTCAGCAAAGTACCCAGCACTTCCACGGGCCCCATGTCATCAGGGTCCACGAGGACTCTGCAAGCTGCCCGGCTGGTCCCCATGGCTATTTTGCAGATGGGGCAACTGCGACTCCAGGGGGCGGGGAATTGCCAGCATCAGTGGTGAAACCCGGCCTTGGTACTCAGGCTTCCTGAGCCCCCCAGCCCGGCTCTGTTCTTAAACCTTTGATCCCTGGAAGGGCTCCATTGTCCCCCAGGAAGGAAACAGCCGGAGCTCCCTTTCAGCCCCCGCCAGCCCAGCAGCCCAGGCTCTTCTCTTGTGTTCAGGGGTCCAGAAAGGGCGCCCCAATCCTCTTTATCATTATTAATACAGTCAGCACTGGCATCGCTAATACTGTTATTCTTGGACATCAGAGAATGAGGAACATGATCAGAAATGGCAAGACACATGTCAGCCAGCTGTTCCCCATTATGCCCTCCCCGGGTACACGATATGCCTTTCATGTGCTTAAAATCATAAATAATTTTTAAAGTATGTTGCTCTTAATTTTTATTCCAGGGCTCAAATGTGGTTCTCATAAAAGCCCGCTCTGGCCTCCTGTCACAGGCTAAGAGGTTTACTGAGATGCCTTCTTCCCTTACTTCTTTTT